CTTGTTCTGCGGAAGACAGTAAAGCAATGAAACCTCCTTGGTGATCTGGTGGATCGAAGCTTCAATCGGCGGGTGCTTGGCACCGGCGGCTCCTGGAAGCGGGCGCAAGTAGAGAGACATGACAGTGTAGCCGTTGGAGAATTGCTCGACGTACTTTCGCGAGGTGGTCAGACCGTAGTAATGGTACAAGTCGCTCAAGGCACTGAAGAGACCCAATGCACTTCCGCGCTTGAAGCCGACAACTAGGCGCTTGTCTCTTGAGCCTTCGATATCGAAGTGGTCAATGACGGGACCAGTACGCTCTACAGCGACTTGGAGGATTTGCTGGTAGATGACCTTTGTGTTTTCGGTCGCCTTCTGCAGGAAACGCTTGTCACCAATCTTCTCAATGTTGGTCTCTGTCTCGCTGGGGTTTGGGTCGACAAAGTCGCACTGGTAGACGAAGTAGCATCGCAGTTGCTGGTCGTCGCTTCCAGGCAGCGGGCTCTCCGAGCGGAAGCTCTCTACGCGGTATGCGAGGCCAGGCTTGGATACAGCCAGGTACTTCTTGCCCAGACGCTGCTCGTACTGGGGACCGTCAATGACGGACACACCGGGTCTGCTGGTATCGATGTATACGGCGTGATCAGCGGCTTCCTTGTCGAGCCGGATCTCGAGGCGCTTGTCGTCTCTGGCGTATGCGGCGACCTTTGCGGCGTAAAGCGAGTGGATGTGGCTGATGATTCTGTAACCTCTGTTAGTGTAGTTCCAGGAAGATTGAAAGCCATGCTTACGCTTCTACCGTCTCGGTGGCAAAGTACATGTCGTCAATGCCCAGCTCGTTGTAGAACCACTTGGTTTCTGACTCTACGAGCTCTGGAGGCATGAAGCCCTTCTCCTCGACGCCGTCCATAACGGCCTCCATCTGCTGGGCCTTGCCCTCGAACACGGGTGCAACATATCCAGAGCCGCCCGAGCCTTCCTGTGGAATTGTTCGAGGTGTTGAACTTCCTGAGCCCGGTGCGCTCAGATGTGTGGGAAGAGGTGAGGGTCGGCGGTCTGGAGTATGGAGAAGCTGCTCGAGCTGCTTGTGCTGGGGTGCGAGGCCATTGACGGCTTCGATCGGTGTGGAAGCCATGCTGGGCGTGTGCAATTGATCGTGTGGCTGTTCAGCAAGGTGCTGTTATAGCGATTGAGACAATGCTATTTGAATTGCGTGCTCGGTGAGACGCGTCAGGCGTGATGATAAAGCGCACGAAGTTTGGACGATCGGGCAATAGTGGGGCCCTTGATGATAGAGGGGCAGAACCCAAGCCTTGAGCTCGCAAAACACTACAAGAAGGGCTCGTTAGTCGACGATTCAGTGCATCCGACAAATACGATGCACCGCTATTTCGGGCATCGTAACTGCCATGACGCAGGAACGCTAGCTTACCTTCTAGTACAACCAACGAGCCGCAGCCGTCGATCACCGCTTCGGATAACGATGGTACAGGCAATTGGACAGATGATCCACCGCTCTTCTGTATCCTGCCCTGGGGAATCGGGATGGCAGTTTGTGTACAGGTAGATGTGCAGTAGTCCGTATACCCGTCTAACGCATCCGATGCCAGTCAAGACGTGAGTGACAGCGACGACGCTGCAATCTTCGAGGTACCTGGCGGTGCCACAGTAACACCCTGGTATGCCGATATCAAGATAAGATGCGGGAGTAATAATAGTAGACGAGAATGAGGCTTGCAAAGAGGGTACGGTCAGTGCCCCAGCAGCGAAGGCGGGCCCCGTCATCTTTATAACCTTTCACGTCCTGTCTCATGGTCGTTGGAGGCTCGGCAGCGGCGTACCTGAACTCAACCGCGGAAAGCCGAGTCAAGCTTCCCCAGAATGTGCAGCCGCTAGCGCCTGCACCGCAGCGCCCACCTGGGCAAACTTCACGTAATTAGAAACGGGGCCACCAAGCCGGTGCTCGCAGTGCTCCAAGAACATGACCTGCAAAAAAGCCGCATCAGAGTTTTCCTCAATCCCGCCGAACGAAACCTGGCCTTGACTGCATGAGCTATTGCACCATATGCGCGCGCAATGAGGAGCGCCGTCAAGGCCGCCGCATTAGTGCCTCCTCACCTCGCATCCCCACCTACGCGTCCTGCAGAATTGAACTCACGATCCTTGGCGCCGTCTCCAAACGGTTTCCATGACTGATGGGGCCTCCTGGGACTGGCTTGTCTGCTGCACGTGCTGCCAGTCCGGGCGTTACAGGCCACGTCTTCCAGGAGTTCCGGTGGTCGGTCATGAGGCGAAGGGTCATCCAGCCCGCGGACAGCAGGTCACGATGCCCGTCGCTTCCGAGCCATGGCCATTGCACGACCAGTGAAGCCGTCGTAATACACCGCTCTCCATGTCACGATGCTTCGTGTCAGCTGCAGTGCCATGGCGATTACAAAGTCTGGATTTCACGATCCTCGCCACAGTGCTATTTTCGTGCGAGCTGGCATCTAGACTATCTAATCACATAATAGGGTTCAGAACATTGGGTATTCTCAGTTATCCTCACCAAACTCCTTGCCGTTGATCGTCAGAAGCACTTTGTAGCCGTGTCCTCCTATCCAGTTCTTCTTCTTCCCTGCCTTTTCCACCTTTTTTAGCGCTGCATGAAGCCCTTCATCGAGTTCGTCCGGCTCCTTGGTAAACTTGAAATCGATACACAGTTTCTCGTTTTCTTTCTTCGTCGTTGTCCACTGGGAAGTAATCTTCACCCTCTTCTCTCGTATCAGACCCGCAGGATAAACGCTGGCCAGAACTGCAGCAACGCGGCCAAGCAACATACACCACCATCGCAAGTCTTCTGGCACGAGCTGCAGCATTCGGCGGTAGAAGTCCTGCTCTGTTGGACTGATAGAACTGTAGCCACCGTAGCGCTCGCAAAGGAAGATGGCAAGTATCGCGCGGTCTTCGTGTGTCAAACCATGTGCAGAAGAGAACAAACCGGTCGTTGTACTTCGGAGCGCAGCTCCAGCTTGGAGGTCCTTGACTTGCCCCATGTGTGCAAACATAGCACGCCCAAAAGCTCTCTGCATCTCGTAGTTGAACAGTTCTTGACGAGACGCTGTTGGCGGAGGGGTACTGACTTCCCGCAATATCGCAGTAAACTCCCCGCTCGATGGCTTAGCGTATCTCATCGTAGTTTCGAACAACGGACTGGGCGTGAGCCACATCTCTGAGAAGTACATGCCTTCCCTCACACCGCCTTGGCAGAAATACACATCTTTGATGCTCGGCAGTGCTTTGGACAAGCAGTTCACCAGCAAAGCAACTGCTGGAACCTGACTTGCTCTGCGGGCCGAGACCCGAAAGATGTCGGGTGTATCCTCTCTTTGCACCGCCGCTTGTACAGCCTGAGTGTCGTGAAACGCGTCCTTGGTCGTCCGGAATCCATTGATGATGGGTATGGGATATGGCTGAATCGCATGCTCCGACATGAGTATAAAACCCCAGCCTCGGAAGCCGCCTCCAGACAGGTAAAGCGAGAGACCTTCGGGTAACTGTGAGCGGTCAAGCAACTGCTGTGGTACCTCTATGTATTGTACCGCAGCTTTGAGGTCCGCAATGACTTGGCTTTCGAATGTCCTGAATGCATCGCTATCAGAAGAGCCTGCTTCTTCGAGCCTCTTCGCGAGGGCGGCCGCGCCGTACGGTAGGCTTGCACTTCCTTTCTCGCATGTGTCAATTTGGCCGCGCTGTGACGGACTCATCCAATTGATCTGTGTAGAGCCTCCACCAAGGTCCATCATGAGTCCAATCGGGTTATGATAGGAGCTCGCTACACCGAAAGCTCCAACCCGGCCTTCCATTTCCTTCGACAAGAGTTGTACAGCCCAGCCAGTAGCATCCTTGATCTTGCTTTGGAAGTCTTCAGAGTTGCTAGCTTTCCGAGTAGCTTCAGTAGCTACAATCTGAATCTGCTTCTCGGGTACTCCAAAATCTTCACATGTATCCTTGAAACGCAACAGTGACTTGACCACTTGTTTGATAGTCGGGTCTGGTATCGGCACCACCTGGCCATTTTCGTACTGCGCATCGTAGAGCGAAATTGCTGCCCGATCCAAGTACACAGTCGGCAACAGCCTACTCGTCGCGGGCGCCAGGTCGGTGATCGAAAAGCGGATCCCGTTGCTCCCCATGTCAACCAACCCATGGAGGTGTCTTGACTCGTCTGTCGTGACCATTTTGGTAGTGCAGGTTCCCCGGATTTGCGATTGGTGCCCCAGATGTCAGCCAAGAGGTAAGCGGAAGAAACGGTGCGAACCGTAGAATTTTGATGGCGTGATTAACGCGGTTCCAGTTCGAGACTTAGTTTCTCTTACCCCCAGGAAACTCCTTAGCGGCGCTGTTGTGTCCCGCCTTATGCAAGAATGATATTGATTACCCCCAGCTTTCTGAAGGTGGTTTCTATTACCCCCAGATTACTTGAGAGGTTGTACCAGCAGTGTCTTGTGATGTGAAGTATTTTCTGGGCTGACTTTCTGTTCGCGATGACGTTGCGGGGGTCCCCACTACCTGCATGGAGGAAGAATATGGCGCTAGCAATCGCGACCAATCATGCGAGGGGTAGGTAGGACAGAGACTTTGGCAGGAACGTTCGATGACCGCGGCCGCGACGACGGTAGAAGGCGCTGTGGAGATCCAGGTTGCGGTATCGGTCTTGTCACTTAAGCGCCGAGCAGTGTGGTCGAAGGTATCGCCTTTGCTGTTCGTTACATTCCGTCAATTCTGGGAAGGAAAAGTCAAATGATGTCGAGCCAGTTTCAACAACAATCTGGTCAGCCATAGACTCAGCCGACTAAACAGTAATGGGAACCCAGATATATCATGGAAGAGATAGAATTGACTGCCTGTTGCGCACTGCAGAAGGGCGTGAGAGATATCAAAGGGCGCTGTGAGGGCTGAAAGACGGCAATCGGCATCTCCAAAGTCGGAAGCGAATCATGCTTTGTATGGCCAACTCTTCCGCATCCAGTGTTCGATCAAGTCGACTTCGTGGGTGGCTGAGCAGACCGCGACGGCCGGAGCATGCGATAGCAGTCTACGAGAAACTGCCGTTCGAAGAAAAGAACGTGCAAGACGTAAACACCACCCACTGCACCCATGCTGATCAACTCCCCAAGCACCCCAAGCCGTCCAAGAAAGCTGATTGCAGGCTTCGTTCGCATCAGGGTAGGTATAACAGCTGCGGGTGCCACGGCAGCAAGTGAGGGCAACGTCTCGAGTACATTGAACTCGGAGCCGTTCCTTGCGAAGAACCTGCCAATAAACCAGGTGTTCCAGACGATGCGCAAGCCCATGTTGACCGTGTTTGCAAGAACCACGCCATTGCCTCCCATCTCGAGCTGCCCGATGAAGAACCAAGCACTACCCGCGAAGAGCGCAAAGAAGATGCCCATAGAAATGGACTGTGCGTATAGCTCTTTGTTGGTTGCCACTGCGGCTACAAAAGCCTCCGTGACTCCGTTGATAGCGAGGAAGGGTATGTAGTAGCAATACGTGGAGAGTACCTGCGAAGCAGAGGTTGCAGACCACTTTTGCCCGGCAACGATGGAGAGAAGTACTGGGGCTAGTACAGGTCCTAGTGTAACCGCGAACAATGAGATGATCCCGTAGAGTCTAAGTATGGTACTCAATACCCTAGAAGCTTGAGCAAGGTTTTGCTTTTGTTCGTCCGACTTCTTTAGATCCTTCTTTTCCGTTGACGACGATGTTTCTACATTGGCGCATAGCTTGGCGAACATGTTGCGACTACTCTCTTCAATGGGTTGGAAAAGCATGCGTGCAATGAGGCCTCCATAGTTTGAAGCAAGCGCATAGGCGCCTTGATCCGCGAGAGATGCCAGTGTTGTAATGAGAAGAGAGTCTCCCTGGGTGAGGACATACTTCAACGCCGACTGCAGACTAAGAGATGCAGTCAGTCGCAGCAGAGGAGCTGAGAAGTAATTCATCAATGTCGGGTTTTCCTGAGTGGATGGTACTCTTTCCGGGAAGAGCGAGAAGCCATCAGTCTTCGCAACAGGCCACGTTTTGTATGAGTACACAACAAGCAAAGCCAATGCATACGCCAGCTGCCCGATAGCGAATGGCAAGACCCCAATGTCCAGGCCAGCTCGACTAGCCAAGATAGCTGAGCCACATGTACCAACGCAGCGCAGCAAAGTAGCTGAACTCTCAGCCGACGCTCGAACCTTGTAGAGTAGCTTCTGCTGCACAGCAGAAAACGCCGGCTCGCTCAGCAGTTCCAAGAAGGTAGCTAGGCAATACACAACCAGGGCCTCCATGAAGTACGGGACGTTTGGCGTATCGGAATGCATCCATAGTAGCGCGAGAAGATAGGCCAGAGGCGTGCCGAAAAAGACAGCGAGATACGAAAGGTTGACGACAGCCTGCGTCCCATGAGCCTGACGCTGCAGCGCCACACGCAGACTTTCGCGGGCAAAATACAACACAGAGATGGAAAACAGCTCCAGCTGCGCCGACACGCCCAATAGCTCTGGTGATAGGAACCTCAACAGAACCTGATTGACAGCAAACGTCAGCGCCCGCGAAGCCACCTGCAGGAGGATGAGAAAGGTGGCTCCCTTCGCGGAAGCGGAAAGTATTGAATTCGACATGGTAAAGGCTGGATCTGACCGGAAACGACGAAGAAGCTTTGGAAATGATGTAAAGCGCTCTTCAGGACGCCATCTTGATTGGTTGTGTGGTTGTATGCGGTGTGTTTGAACAGCTGGAGTTTTGGAGATGGGCGTTACATGTCTGTAAAGGGAATAGCTCTTGACGCGTGCTGCAAGGCACAAGCGCAGGCCACAGCGACAGCGACAGCTTGATGACATGACACACGACACAATGTGAGTCTTAATCAGCGCACAGTACAGCCGGCAATGGCTCGATATTACTTTCTCGTTCCGCACGCTCGCGACGATGGTGGTGGTTGACCCGCAGATATTCGCGAGGACTGAACGCCTGCTGCTGCGGCCGTTGCGCCTCGAAGATGCAGAGGACGTATTATTGATGCGGAAGCATCCGGAAGTTATGAAACATACGTCTCTTCTACCTTCAGATGACCTCGAAGGCACGAAAGCATGGATTCAAGGTGTAAGCCGACTACCCTATACAATTCATCTGGACGTATGCTAACCGTCTGCAGTGTCACCAGGTTGAATGCAACTGGAACTTTGCAATCGTCCTCCTAGCGCCACACGAAGGCCCGCACGTCATCGGCTTGATAGGAGCAGTCCGCGCCCCAGAGATTGGCTACATGTTCAACGCCGAATACTGGGGACGAGGGTACGCTACCGAAGCGTTGGAAGCGTTCATGCCCTTGTTCTTCGAGCATTACTCGGGCCGTGATATCGCGGACTATGTGTCGGAAGACTACGGACTAGGCACATACAATGGCAAGGCAAACAACGGACGGGTAGAGGGAGATGGGAGGAACAACAGGAACAGGCTGGCACCGAGGTACGACTTCGCGGAGGCACATACAGATACCGAGCTGGCAGCTAGTCAGAATGTCTTGACAAAGGTTGGCTTCAAGCTACATGAGAAGAGGGAGAACGACTTTGACAATCCTGTTCTGGGCATGAGGTCGACTTATATCTACAGGATGTACAGAGCTGCCGCTGAAGCAAAGCCTCCTAGGTAGACCCGGAAGGGCCGAATGTCTAGACAAGCTACCTACGCTTATACCATGTGTTCGTCTGTGGCATCACCAAAGCGCCTTGACTCTTGTGTGCTCCCACCCATCTCCCGTCTTGTCTCGAAACCGTTCTGCAACCTCAAAAGCTGTAGTATCTGATTCTTTGATGCCCTTTCTTTTCTTGGTCCGTTCCATATCACTGTCACTGGATTCGTCGTCACTAGACGGAGTCACGATGTTTCCTAGCATCTTCCGTAGCCTTGGGTCATCTTCGATTTCGGGACCAGCATCGCTATGTTCTTCTGCTGCGACCTCGGGATCGTCAGTTTGATGGGTAACGTGCTTCTCGGTATAGACTTGGGCGAAGTAATCTACCGCTGGTGTGGTAATCATGGGCTGTGTAGATGACATAGTGGCGGGTAGTGGTGGAGAGTCACCAAGCTTGTGGCGCCAATGAGGTATCTTCCACCTCGACTGCTGGTGACGTGCATTGTCTGGGGTCTCGGGCACATCGTCGAAATAGTCCCGTGTGACGATGAGATCTCCTCGTCCGCAGGCACGCATCATGCCCTCTTCCGAGGAAGCGGGGCCCCAGTTGGAATTTGGTGTAACAGAGGTGCGTCGTACCTCAGGGATTTGGAAGGTGTAGGTAAGAATACTGCCAATCGACGGGTCCGAGGGGTGACGTTTCCCGTCATGTGGGCTTTCGACAGGTATTTCTTCTTCTATGTCTGCTTCTACTTCAATGCACAGAGCAGACTGGGTATGCCTGAGACGATGTAACGAGGGTATACGTTGAACGGGCTGGGAACTAATCTTTTGGCGTTCCGCGCGATTGTCCGACTTGTCCTCAAATTGTGTTCGTTCTTGCTTCTTTTGTTTCGAAGTCGTGCGACTAAAAAATATGGTGTCATGTCTTCGCCGATAGTTCTTCGGTACTGCTGCCTGACATATCAGTTTGGAGAAGAACCCGGGTTCAGATGAGGAGCTGGAGCTTTCTCGTGATAAGGGGCTCCGTGAGTCTTCACGTGTGGTTATCGCTGGCGGCCCATCTGTCCATCCGCTCGCAGTGAAGTGTGGTATATAATCGCTGCTTTGCTTGCGTATCTTACGCCTCTGACTGACGTATTGCGCCAGCTTCTCTTCGGTAGAAGGCCCCGTATAAAGCCCAGGCCAAGATTCCGTCTCGGAAGGTGGGCGGGCTTGGTGACCGGCGGCTGGAGAATACCGGTGATGAGAATGTGACCGCAGGGCTGTTACGAATCTTCTCTCTTTGCGCGGCTGAAACAGTGGAATATGATTTGCGCTCGAAGGGGGTGAGAGGGTATAGCACGCTGCTAGCAACTGCAAAGCGATGAGTTGGAGAATCGTCTCGCAGGCGACGATGTTACTCTGAGAGACATCTGTCATCATTTTGTCGTCATGAAGTTGTTCGAGTAGTTGGTGTGCAGTTGGAAGTGTCTGTATCTGTCAGTTTGAAGAGCAGCCCGCTTGGCTGAGAGCTGCTAACGCGACGAGGCTGCTGCGCCCGAGGCGCCCAGAACTCATCACATTCTTGTGACTGCATCCAGTCTCCGATCTCTCTCGTGATTCTTGCTTCTGATTTCGCAGATGGGATGCTGTCGTTCGGTGTGTCTTGAGCGTAGTCGTCATTGAGCCGGGTGACGTATCCACCATCTTTACCAAACAGCCAGTGTAGGGACGTGTCGGTGATGTCTAGAGACTGTTCTGGAATGATGCCGACACTCAGTCTGTCTAGCTTTCGCTGCATCGGGATGGGTAAAGGTAGAGTATGCGTAGGGAGCAGGATGATAGATCAGGTATGAGATAATAGAATGTGGAGGAGACGTGACCGTAGAGCTAGTCCATTGAAAGCACGTCTGAAGAGGTAGCCATGTGCGGTCTAGAACAAAGGTGCCTCGAGCTTCCTTTTTGGTGGCAGGTACGCTGATGGGCGGCGTGGCAAGTGCACCTAAGTAGATCTTACGCGGTGACAGGACCTCACTCTTGCGGATACTGCAGCATACCGCTTTATCCTACTACGCTTAGAATTCATCGAGCCATCTTCTTTCGTCGGCATACGCTTTGAGATAGCCCTCCTCACTCGCAAGGGTGTTTCGCGACTTGCTTGAATGATGTAGCACGTGGTGGTCCTACCTCCTTCGGCCATCCATCGCTTTCGCATACATCTTACGTGCCGCCCATGACCAAGTCGCCATGTGCTTGCGAGGTACCGATTCCTGCATTGGCGATCCCAGTTGTCGCCTTTTCTGCCACTAGACGCGAGCCCTCTGAAGTCTTCGAGATTGCCAAGCGCGACTTCTCTCCTCTCTTGGCTTTGGCCTCATTTAGCCTGGCAAGGAAGCTCGACGAAGCGGACGAGGCCTTTTCGTTGCTGGAATGCTGAGCGTCTGACATGTTGTTTACGCTCGTTGTAGCGCCCTGGTTGCCGTCTGGAGCAGGCGCGACCTCTGCTGCCTGTTGCGTATTACTAGCGTCATCGAAGAGATCCTCGCGCGGTCGCAGACGTCCAACTTTGGCTACCAGCTTTGCGGACCCCAGAGCCAATAAGTCAACCGACGGTAGGGATCGCAGCGTTTCTGACTGAGTGGCAGAGTTTGCATTCGGCTTCACGAAGAACATGTCGGTTCCGACGGTCGAGGTCCAATGGCAACTCAGCAACTGGCCGTTGTACATGACCAGTGGATTTGGCGTGTGGAGGCCAACGATTTGGACTTCGCCCATGGTTGCCGTCTCTTGTCCATCGTTGCTGTCGGCGGCGAACTCGGCTGGTTGAGCTCGAGCGGCATTCAGTGCGCGCAATCGGCTCTTAAGCAGAGTCGGATGGCCTGGTCTACCCTGCGAGACCATGGGAATTTGCGCTGCAGGCACATTGGACAAGTCGAGCGGAATGTAGAAATCTTCTGTCTCATTATCGTCGTATTCGTACTCCCACTCATCCTCCTCAGGCGCGGCCATGATTAGCGGCGTTGTTGTGCGTTGGCGCGGGTTGAAGGATCGCAAAGCTAGCAGTGGTGGGGCCGGGTGAGAGAAGGGTGCAAATTGGTCGTCAACTAGAGGGGTTCGACTTGCACGGAAGCATCAGAGCTGGCAAATGTGGGTGAGATATATATGCATATGCTGCCCATTTCTCCATCGAAAAACCAAGCACGACTTCGTTTGAAGTATTCTCCCCGTAGCTCAGTTGGTTTAGAGCGTCTGACTGTAATATCTGCTGTTATCAGAAGGTCCCTTGTTCGACTCATGGTGGGGAGATCGTTCTTTTTTGGCGTTCCGTCGCGAGGTTGGCGGAGACCACTTCTTTTGCCTGTGTGATGATCATGAGCAGATAGGTGATTCTGCTATGTTCGGGAGTCGTGTTTTTGCGCGTTGTGGCAGGCTCAGAAAACAACAGACACAGTCCTCTACGCCACCCTTCGCCAGATGACTGAACCTTGCATTCACTACGAAGTGGCAGGGACATGCAACAAGCCACAGCTAAGACTAACTTCCCCATGGTGTGGGTGTGCGATTGCTGCAGGCCGTGCCTGGGAGCCAAGTTGCGAGCCGCATGGCTGCCGAGGTCCCCGCGGCGTCTGGAACCAGGGATGACGACGTGTGCCCAGCCGGCAGCTGTGCTACATGCATCAAACACCAAACGTACGCGCCACCCCAATGCCAACTACTGTCGCGCTGCCTGTTCCATTATCGCACTGAGTGTTTGCTCACATTAGCAATTCGACACCTTCTCAAGCCGGGTTCTTGCACGCAATCGGCTGGCCACGGCCGTCTACTCGCATCAGTAAGTGTCCTTCCGCCTATGTCCGGCCATGTTAGAGCATTCCAAGTCATCATGACCTTTCCGCTACCTCCGCGCCCTCCCCGCTTTTCCCTACACCATTAGCCCATTTCAAGCCTCTTTGGACTGTGCGATGGCCGCTCTACTGTCGATCAGGCCAGTCGCGCCCTGCACTTGCCGTGTCCGGCATCACATAGCTCTGTCGACTATCGGATCTTGGGCCACGCCTGCCGTTTTGTCAGCCATCCGGCAGTATCGGCTTCAGATCTTTCCTACCTCGAGCCAAATGTCTCCTACTTTGCCTGTTCGAGCCTGTGAACAGAAGCTAACCAGTCAGTGCCCATCGTTCCATACCTCCAGCATGGCGGAGGGCAGGTCCCACTGCAGGCGGCCCTTCCGTCATCGCTTCCGTCTTCATCCATACCTTCAATAGACGTACCTGAGTACACTCCGATAGTAACATATTCTCCCGATTCTCCGACCGAAGTCCCAGACGCTGCGCAGGACGCTGCTCACTCCCACTTCCTACCTACCATCGATATTCCTACGCAGCATTCTTCCCAAACGAAACCATCTGAAGAGGCTACTACATCTCTCGCTGGTACCGACGACTCGTTAACCGAGGAAGACGCTCAGATGAAGGGCAGGAAACCCGCCATCGCTGCTGCGGGTACCTTCTTTGGCTTGTTCTCGTTCTCGCAACTATACCAAAACGTTCTTTTCGAAAGCCTGACCCCCTCGAGCGAACGCGCAGACGAAGCGGCCTGGGTCGCGTCGTCTCAGTCATGGGTAGACCGGAAGGCCTGCAATTGGTTCGGCATGTGTGGCCTGGCGCATCTGAACAAGGCGCAATGGACCACACAGACTGTGAAAGCGCAGAGCCAGAGGACAACGGAAGATGGAAAGGAGGCCAAGGTCAACTTGACCGACTTCTGGAATGATGCGCGAAACATTCCAGGTGATTACAAACCGTTGGAGCAACTCGAGATACCGCAATACGTGATAGACCACGCGCCGCTCATCCACCTCTTCTCAGGAGAAGAGTACTGGCCAGGCGACATGGCAGAACACTTGATTCACACAACACCACATCTGAACTATACGCCTCTGCAAGCATCTAGCGACCACCCGAACATTAGTGATCTTGGTGACCTTAACAAGTGGGGACGGTTTGTGTACCTCCAGAGCGATGACAACGTCGAGGACCGCCCGTCCTGGCTGGGTGCGGATTACAACATACCCAACGCGCCGAATGATGGAAATGACGACGATGACGACAAAGAGTATCACAAAGTGCCTGGACATCTCACGGAGGACAAGAATGGCGAAAAGTCAAGCTGGTGGCATGTCGGTGCTGGCGATACTAGGGATCGAGGTGGCATCCGGCCAGATCCCACAGCTCCCGGTCTACCAGTCCCTTCGGAATTGCCCGAAGGCGAAGAGCTTGTTGATGACGATGATAAACACTGGCGATCAGAGCTGCGTTATGCTCGACGCAGCTTCACTGGCAAGAAAGTCGTCGGTGGTCGAAGTGATGCGCCCGTACCGCTGGTTGTTGTAGACAAGGGTGATGGTGTGGTGGACGCTTTCTGGTTCTTCTTTTATAGTTACAACCTTGGTAACGCTGTCTTCAACATTCGTTTCGGCAATCACGTTGGCGACTGGGAACATACTGTGGTCAGGTTCCAGCATGGCGAGCCCAAAGCGGTGTTCTTTAGTGAACACAGCTTTGGAGAAGCGTACACCTGGGACGCTGTAGAGAAGAGTGGACAGAGGGTAAGTTCAATGTCTCAACACCGTAAGCGACACTAACATATCTAGCCCATCGGCTTCTCTGCTACCGGTACCCACGCCATGTACGCTACGGAAGGTGTACATCCGTACGTCTTGCCTGGTGGCATTCTCCACGACGTCACAGATCGGGGCCCTCTCTGGGACCCTGTCATGAACATGTATTCATACAAGTACGACTACCGATCCGACCGCCTTGTCGCATCGAACCTCAACCCGCGCGCACCTACCTCGTGGTTCTACTTTGGAGGTCACTGGGGCGATAAGTTCTACCCACTCAGCGACCCCCGACAATATCGCTTCTTGGGCCAGTACCATTACGTCAATGGACCACTTGGTCCCCGCTTCAAGAATCTAGGGCGGCAGGAAATTTGCCAAGGCAACGGCGAGTGTGTGCTTAAGGGACGTCCCGGGGAGAAATCTAGGATCACAAAGAGGTGGGTGAACATTGGCGAGGGCGAAGAGATGAATGAGGAAGATGCAAAACGCGTCTTCGGCACAGAGTATGATTCGGCGTCTTGAAGATGCGATGACGAGGATATGACATTATTGATAGCGACCTTTTGTTGACACTCATTGTATAGCTGCACGGCGTTTGTGGCATCTGTACTATACCTGAATAGCGTCGTTCGATACCTACGTAACACATACGTGCTTGTTCATTTTACAGAATTTTTCTCCCCTGTTGGCGGTGGAACTGAGTGACTCAATAGGCAAGTCGTCTCGCGACAGAATCTGCAGAGACGTGTTCCTTGTCATGCTTGGAGTACATTCACTTGTACTGCTGCGTTGGGTAAGTCTAGCGGGCGAAAGCGGGCGACAATCGCCGAATCGGGGCGATGATCGGAGAGGACAACATTCGGGGCATGACTGACGTGACGCGAAATGTTCGCAGCATTTTCGGGCGGTGGAATGTGTATGGCGCTTCATAATGGAGGGAGTCTGGCTCGGGCCTTGACGAAGGTTTTTCGGGATCATGTCATGTTCGTGATGAGAATAGCTTGCGACTGCACCTTGCCCGGTGCCGCACGCAGATCTGACAGTCTTCTAGCGTAAGGGGTGGAGGTTGCGAATCCATGAGCGAATATCGCATGCACGATTGCGTGACTGAGCGACGGCTAGAAAACGTCGCTGGCCCTTCTTCGGTTTCGCAGAGTCAGAGGGCAGGAAACATGGCGCGA